TAACTGAACACAGTTTGAATGGTGGAAATGTATTGTTCCACTGCAAACTGACAACATTGTTAAGAGTAACAAATTAATTACATGGCAACAAGCACAATTGACACAAAATAATTATCTTACTAATACAAAATTTAAAAATGAAATTTAAACAATTATGCTGGTACAGTGTGAAGTGATTCATCATAATTCTGATCACTGCTGTGTGAAAATATTGTTTCCACTTTGCTGTGAAAATGATTTTCTTAGCTTCCATCATTATATCATGTTTTCTTAGCGGACTGAATTTTTTTAAAAGCAAATACTGATGAAAATATTAAAATAGCCTACAAAATGAAATGCTTCAATTTTACTTCAGTGTTATTTTGTTAATTTTAGATTTTGTTGTTTCTTTAAATTACATCTCTTTGAGGTTAACACATTTTCCAGAAAATTCTGCTTACTTGTTGTGGTGCAGTGGGTTGTGCTGTCACCTCACTTTTAGCGTTGGGGCTTTGACTCCCACCTGTGCTCTGTGTGTGTGGAGTTTTCATGTCTTCTCCATGTTGTCTGAGTTTCCTGCATTCCAAACACAAACAGTTGGGCTAAAATGATGTCTCTAAATTTCCCACATAATTTACAGTACTGTGCAAAAGTTTTAGGCAGTCAAAGAAAATGTTTAAAGCTGTTCATCTGGGTAGAAGGTATATATTTGTTAAACACATTTTAACATTAGAACATATACAAATGAACAGTAATACAATTGTTTAAAAACTAACAAGAATTTCTTCTGTTCTCCAAAAAAATACTGCTGTCTTCCAGGATGACTAGATGAACCACTTCAGTTCCCAAACCTCTCCACAGCGGCACCTCAGCCCTTCCATGTATTTGTTACATTTCATCACTAGTTCTCTTAATACACTCTATTAGTTAAATAATTAATAAAGTATATAACTTAGCGAGGTATTGATAAGTCAAACAAGGTGTACTAGTGATCAAAAACTACACTGGCGTATTGGATGGTCACTGTGATTTTAGGAAAGGTTTTGATTAGGCTAAGCTGACACACTTTCCCAGACATAATATCATAGTTTACACTAACATGAAGATCATTTAAACATAATTTTCTTTAACTGCGACTTTTGTGCAGTGCTGTATGTGTGGTGGACTGGCATCCCACCCAGAGTATACCCCAGCCTTGTGGGAAAGGCTCCTGCCCCTTAGACCTTGATGAGATTAAGTGGCTGCAAGATGGATGGATAAATTTCTAGTTCAAAATAACACAACAGACCCCGTAGCAGTCAGTCATGACTGTTGTGCCAACAGAGTGACTTTTCCAGGAATTAATGGGCTGTGTGAAAGAGAGATTAGTAAAAACCATAACTTGTGATTGTCTGGAACTCGGCCCCATGCACAGAGACTCCAAGGTAGTGCTGTCCCAGGATTCAGGGTTTCTGATATGAATCTTCCCTTTTTCGCTCTCACACACTCATACACACAGATATTTCATACAGATCCTTACTGGTGAAATTTCATTTGAGAATGTAGACGAACAACCAGAAATCCATGGATAAATCTTTCCTCTTAGACTGAAAACCTTTGACTGGTAAATTCCACAGTCTGTTATATAGACACCCACCAAAACTATGCTTATGAGTTTACACTGGGCATTAAATCTGAAATGGGTGGCATTGTGACTCAGTGGGTAGTTCTGCTGCGTCACACCCCCAGGCTTTGTGTGGAGTTTGCATATTCTCCTCATATTGTGTAGATTTCATTGGGATACTTAAAATTGTCTCTGAAGTGCAAAGATTATTGTATGTTAATGAATATTCCATTTCCTGACCCGGTTTTGTGCTTGTGAGCACTGATCTCGCCCCAAACTCCCCCACACCGTCCTTCTGCATTGCAGTTTGTCCTTGCTGGTCGTTGGCCCTTCATGCCGTTATTTAGTAAGACATAAAAAAAAAAACACAGATAAACCCAATATGCGCAATCCACAATGCCTGTGCCCACGATGCATCGCTGGCATTTACAGAGAGAGAAAAGCGATAGATGGATAAAGGGTTTTCCCCTTGGCGTGGAAAAAAGCGGCAACTCCTCCTTTTTCTTGTCAGCATTGCGCTGTGAAGCAGAGATGCATCGCATTCGGTCTGACCCACTTTTCCGTGCCTGGCTTGGCTGGGCGGCCTGAGCGGTTGCTGGGGAAGTCCCTGCAGATACCCCCTGAAGGTGGAAGATAGACAGACACGCTTGGATATTTTCTACCCTGGCTAAAATCTTTCTGCTTCACATGAATGCACGTATTGCTTGAAGTAGGCTGGTACTCACCGATACCGGTACCGCATCTCTTTGTTTTTCTCTTTCAGAGTATCGATCGGAACGTTTCTTGCGAACTATCACCGTTCATGATATACTGGTACTGAATAACAATGGGTGTACTGGTACCTGCTTTTCTCACTTCAAGCACTGAATGATTGAAAAGTTTCTCTACACACTCAATCACTCAAGTCTGTCCACTTAAATGAAGGCAAATACACGTTCTACTTAGAAAGTAACACACGAAGATTCTTCAATCGCATACACTCTACATTTATTGACATAAAGTGCTGTCACCTAAACACAATGGACAATCGCTCACACACAGTTACACATCTTCAAACACACATTCTTAATAGGCCTATATATGATTTGTTAATACTTTTTTATGACTGTCCTCCAAATTAAATAAGGATAACCAATTTGACGGGATATCCTCTCTCTTTGGCCAGTCTGACATGAAGCAAAAATTAAGCAAAATCATGAATGGAAGGGTCTTGGTTATTCTTATTGTCGGTAATTTTTTGGCTACTCTGTACCCCTCCCTGTATAGGAAGATATAACCTTTATTCTCCTTATTCTTAAACATTATTCGCCATTACGTAGCTTAGTGTTTTGAAGTATCTCTAAAGGTGTACTATGGTCTTTATTCTAGTGTGTAATATCAGACCTGTCAGTGTGCAGTGGAACAAGGGAGATATCTGGCCAAGATGGCAGTGTTTATTTTTCTGCTCTTTTGAAACTGCAGCTGAACCTACATAAAGGATTTGAGCTTATTTCTCTATGCCAGGGGTGGCCAATCTTATCTGCAAAGGGCCGGTGTGTATGCAGGTTTTTGGGATAACCTGCAGGTCAGCTGTTCAAACCCAGGTGTGAGGACTCTTCAGCCAATCAGTCCTCTAATTAGTAATCTAATTAGGGAGTTGCAGCGAAAACCCGCATACACACCGGTCCTTTGGGGATAAGATTGGCCACCCCTGCTCTACGCCCATAAATATACAGGAAAACAAGACGCGAGCTTGTAAAACCATAATAACATTACGATTACTTTGTACAACAACATATCATTACATGTACGTATACATGAATGTACAATTATCGAGAATACGTAACTGAGGCTTAGAATATTTTGTACTGTACTTCAGTCGGATTCCACCAGGGGGCTTTTGATTTCCCCGTAGAGGTGTTAAAGATCCTGAAGATAATGAGGTCAACAACCAGTAACACCTTTCATCCAAGACGGGTGTGTATTTTCTTTCCAACTATAGTGAACTATATGTCTGGATCTCTTTATGCATAGCATTTAAATTTCTCGTCCCTCAATTCGCATTTTTGATATCTAAACACAGTTATATTAAGGCTGAACCAAAAACATTTAGCAGTAATGATACATAAAAATTACAGTACCTAAACAGCACGTTTAACATGTTTCAGTTAAATTAGATTACATTTTTACAGCCTAAATGAAGTAGCTCATAATTTTTTCAAAATTAATCGACTGCTATCTCGTTTTTATTTTGTCCTTGATGCAAATTATTATCTTTTTTTTATCTATTAGCATAACTTCACTGAAATGACATAATATACAGTACACGTAGAATGATGTTATACTTATAAATGCTCTCGGTTTTCAGTGATCTATACTAAAACAAACTCGGTGATTGCTATGAGAGCAACCATGTTTGTGATATTCATAATAAGTTCACAGAAAAGCTACCAACTGGCAGTAACTGCCTCATTATTTTTAAAACAAACGTCTGTTTAGGCTGGTGATTGTAAAAAGCTCAGGAAAGAACCACTAATAGCCTAAGCAGTATGGAGAATAAATGCTTTCAAGTACAAAATGAGGCGTTTGCTCCCAAGTACCCCTTCGTGGAAAAATATATCTGATTTCTGCATCCTTAAACGACTCATATACACTACAAAATGTAAGGTTACTGAGTACCAAAAACGGATTTCAGTTTAGATGTGCGAGAGACACTAGTCTGACTCGCAGAGCTGATGAGAGAAGAAAGGGATCGAGTGGCTTTAAAGGAAAGCAACAATGAAAATGCGACGTGGATTGCGGAATTTCTTTTTGGATCAAAGTGAACAATTGCGCAGGCTGGCATATACTCTGATATTTGACAGGAAATAAACCATAGATTTCACTACTATACGTCAGTACTGATCCTTCTCTGTTCGGTACACTGGCCAAATTGAATAAATTGGAGATGATTTATAGATTACATCGATCACAGAACCATTTCAAGCTTTATTCTTGGTTGAAAGATAGAAAAATACACCCATATCGCAATTTTACTTCTAAGTACTTGTACTTGTGTTGGTTTATGAACGATATCGTGGATTTATTTTAGTTACCCGTAAATAATTAATTCCATTAGAAATACAAACTTTGGCCATTTTTATGGACAGGCCTTCTCAGTATATGCATCACTCAAATCCGCTATTTGGAAACTGGTTGGGCCCTTATCCGAATATGTTTACTATAGGGACACAATCCATGTATTACGCCCAATGAATTCGTGAGTGCCGAAGAGGTATGCTTAAAATATGAGAAACAGAGGCACAACATCAGTATGTAAGCGGAAAAAAACCGAGTATTGGTTCTTTTATATTTCATATATTAATTATAATTACTTAATATACGAGGTATTATACTTGACACCTTTGATTGCCACACACATTACAATTGCATGAGTAGAGGTTATTCCAGTTTTATAGCTGAATTAATATATCTCGAAATAATATTTGCACTTAAGGTGGTAGATCTGAGAATCAGCTAAAACAGCAGAGATAAACATAAACAGCTTAATGCGCTCTGCCTGTGAGTTTTTTTATATACATATTTGATCAGCATTTTCTTGACGAATGGCAACAAAGGACCGGGGAGACAGTGATGATGAACGTCTTTTGCACCAGCTGCACGAACTATTGTTTAATTGCAGTGTATTGTTTCATGCAAAGCTACATACATCAGTTACGATTTCTTTTTATGACTTATCTATAAACAAGGTCATGGGAATTAATTTCGCAAGCATAACATGCAAATGCATACAACAAATAAACGAAATGTGCCACGTTATGTAAAAATGTTATATGAAGCTGATAATTTTTAAATCCAGTCCGTATTTTTCAACCTGCAGTGTGCAGGAGAATTGGATAATAGTTGTTGGAGCTCTCTCTAATGCCATGCTGGGCCAAAGAAGCTCTTGGAGACTTGCATTTAGCAACCCATATCCGGGTTAGAGAGGAAAGGAAAAAGTTTCATTTAAGCCTAGGCGAGAACTTTCAATATGAAATCACACTATTTAGCAGTAGGCGCTGCCATTGAGGCGCATTTGATTCCGATTGCCGCGTTGCCTGACATACTTAATATTTAAATGAAATAGTTTCGTTTTTATTTAATTTTCTTCGATTTCCCCTCTTCCTTTTCTGACAGCTAGCTGTTAACTACAGTAGCTAGCTAGGCTGGAATACTGCCTGAAATGTTGACGTGATCATGGCCGCGCAAGTGGCACAAGCTCCGGGGACGAGTAAAAATAAAACATCGGATTTACCGAGCAATTTGAGTCAAGATATAAATTCGGGTAAGTCTTTAAGAGAGACTGTACATGGATCTGGAACAATATTTGGGACTGGTGATGGGACAAGCGATGACATGAATAATGTAGATCGCCACCACCATGAACTGAACATGGCCAACACAGCTCGCTCTTCTACCAACAACTCGGATCTACGCGAAAAGGAGAGTGCGAGTAAGTCGGCGTCTTTATCCGCGTCCAATTCGGGCATGTCATCGAGCATGGAGACGGGTTTGATAGCGAATCATAAACTGAAAAATGTTGGTGGAGGAGATCCCCCTCCTCCGCCTCACCATCACGCACACTCACAGCAGCAACAGCAACCATTCAATCAATTTCAGCCGCACCATCAGCGTCAAATTCAAAATAACAACATCAACAGCCAGCAATCGGCGCAGGGGGAAACTGGCATTCGGCAACATGGAGGGAAGGAGAATATTCTTGGAAATCGGGTTGAACGACATCAGCAGTTGCTGAATAAAAGTGAGGAGGACGATCACCCGTGTAAATCGGGAGACCGGATGGGCAGCAGGTACGACCACGCCGGCTTAGGAGCGACGAACAACTTCATCAGCAGCAACCAGCCACAAAGTGCAGGAGGGAACAGCAACGTTTCTGAGTTTAATAATTATTATGGCGGTACCAGAGGAGGGCCTTGTCTTGATCAACATGGCGGACAACAAAGCCCTGGGATGGGGGTAATGCATTCTTCGGCACCCAACAGTATGGATCAAGTGCAAAACTCCCACGAAGGCTACCACAACAGCCAGTATAACCACTACCAGAACTACCGTGCTGGCTACGGTGCTGCAGGATACGGTATGATGACTCCCTCGCTGCAGGGAAACAGCATGATGGGCCCGAGCAGCAATAGCGCTGCAAGCCACAGCAAAGCTTCCATGGCTGCTGCTGCCTCTGGTTCTGGTGGCAACGTTGGGGGATTTCAGAGATTTCCAGGGCAAAGTCAGCAGCGTCCATCAGGAGCCACACCAACTCTAAACGAACTGCTGACGTCCCCTAGCCCCGTTATGCGAGGTTATGGCAGTGGCTACCAAGACTACAATAACAATCCGTCCGCACAGCAAGCAAGCATGGGGCTGGGCAAAGACATGGGCGCCCAATATGGGTCCGCTTCCCACGGCTGGGGAGGGCAACAAAGAAATCACCCGGCAATGAGTCCTGGAAACAACGGGCAAGGTGTTACCAGATCCCAGGTAATTATATTTATTTGTACCGCAATTATTTGTTAATCAGTGGTCATTTTTAAACTGCGCCGCTCCATGTGTATTTGTGGTTCGCTATCCAGAAGCCGCAGTGTTAGAAAATGCACATTTTACTTTTGTTCTGTTAACTTCATTTGCTTTTCTTAGTGGTCTACGGCCGGCAAAAGCAGTGATCTGTTGATTTTTAATTCCCCCTTTAGCGGTGGCAAGTTGCCGTAGCAAGTTCTGTCCAAGGTGACTTGTGGGATGAATAAAACAAAACGAGCGTAAAGGAAGCGTTTCTGCGCGGTAGCACACACACCCCGTCAAGTAGTCCAGGGGTTTTGTTGTTTATTCATTAGTTTTTCTCCACGAATAGTAAGAGTGGCTAAAAGCCCGTTTATAAAACCGTGGAACATTCTAGTACGTGCAGCACATTGCAGTAAATGGCAAGAGAATAAAAATGGACGTAGCTTATGAATATTCATAAGTCCGTTCGGCCTACAGTGTTTTAAAATGCTTTTCACCATCAACTGGGCTCATAATCCCCTGTAGAAAGGTAAAGAAAATGCCTGTCAAATATTTTAAAAGACGTAAGATGACGATAATATTGACGGGACGCCTCTGTCACCCTGTCGGTAAAGCGAGGCTAATTGCGTGGTTTAAGTCAACGATAACCTCGCGGTTCGACGTGCGATTGTGAGCGTGGTGTCGCGACGTAACCGGTTACTGGTGATTAGATTTTTCGGGAAAAGGCGGTTTTTTTCCGGTCCCGAGAGCAGCGGGCAGTGCACGTCTGTTATCGGCGCTCCTGCCGGCAGCTCGAGACGGCCGCCTCCGGACTGACACCTCATCTTGCGCCTGATTGGTCACCTACCGCCCACTGGCCGCCGATGTAAACACGAGTGCCTCGCTAGCGAGGAGATGCGGGCTCGTTCCTATCGATATAGAAAGGAACCACTATGCAAAACCTCTGCTTTAGATGCACGTTGCCGTGATTATCCCCCATACCCCCCGCAACAAGATACAATACGTACAAATTCAACCATCAACCGGGTGCAACATGCAGGAAAAAGGCGTTTGCTACCGCTTGTTACAGGATACTCAGATCAGCAACGTAGGATCCAATATAACAAGTATGATATTGAAGTGTATCGAGCAAAAAACTTTTCTCTCTCCATTTAAAATTCTTCATTAAGCTGACTCTTGCACTGGTTTCTGGACAAGGTTGTCTTCTCAGCCTGGATGTTAGACGGATTAGATTGTGCTCCCCTATTTGGTGACAGGAATTGAAGGGACAGGAGAAGGTGGGCTGGAGTTGACCTCTTGATGTAAAGGGACTGCTGGTAGGAGCCTACCTGGAAAGTGCATATTGAAAGGGCACATTTCAGCCGTAGATCATTTAGTAGAGAAAATGTGATGAGATGCTTTTTCTATTCGACTTGACTGGAAACATTGGGCTGCTTACTTTGAATCAGTGTCGTAGGAAAGGCAACAACTGCACCATGGGGGTGACAGATAAGCTGCTGTGAATCAAATGGTTTATTTTCACTCCCAGTTCACTGAGAGATAGTGGGTGGTTTGGATTTCTTGGTCTTTTGGATGTTAGTGTTTTCTGTTAGGTGTGTTTTAATGTATTTCACCACCTTTTTAAAAATCTCTTCCTTTTTAATCCTTTGCTGACTATTTCAGAAACATTACAAATACTACTGTCCTTCTCCCAGGGACACTCATACATCGCTGCCCGATACTAGCCTTCGTTCTCCTGTCTTTGTAGCTGTGTATTACTGTTACATTTTAAGTGTGGGATGCTCATTGTTTCTGAATCTCTACAATCACGTCATTTGTAAAATGTAGCAAAAATGTATTTTGAAATTTGAAGGGTCACTGTTTGTGATGTCACTGGGGCATAGTTAAAGTACTGGTATTTCTGATTTTATGTGATTTCATTGCAAAATGCAGATTTAAAACCAGTTAGCATCTTGGACTGGGGGTGAAATAATGTTTAAGAATGGTGGATTGTTACTTAAAAAGCTTAACTTTAACAAATATCTAGGTTTACCGGTGTACTTTTGTGTCAGTCTGCTTCCGATTTATATATTGTGAAATGTTGCTCTTGAGAAAATGTGAAAGTAACATTCCCCCCCGTCTGTTTTGGTGGGTGTCTGGAATATAGGAGTGTGTGTTTTAATTAAGTCTCAGGGGCCTGTGTGTCTCTCCTCTGATGTCAGTTTTGTGCTCTTCCATCTGTTGTAGCAAAAACAGTTTAATGTTGATCATTTTCACCAAATACTGACTTTTATAATGAGTGCAAAAGGTGGACTTTCCATGTGTCGAGTAATAAAATAAACTGCGGAAACCCTCTTCTGCTTATTTCAGGAAGCTGGGGCTGAAATCAGAGGTTTGTATGTAGCTGCTTAACTGCCCCTCATATGAAGTGGCTGTTTGCCATTTTCCTGGATATTTCCCTGGTGCAGTTTTGAGTCCAGGTTTTACTCAGCTGTGTCTCCGAGTCTCGATCCATCCTCCATTGACGTAACTGGACCTGGGGATAATGGGGGAATTTCAGCAGTGTGTTGACGTTAAAAGTCGCTTGGCTGTGTGCTCATATTTACATTGTCGTGCACAGGCTACATTCTCCTTGTCTGCTGTGGCTGTTTCAGCTCTGGCAGCTTCCAAATCGACGTTTTTGCCCATGTGAGGCTTTGGTAAAGACGGACCAGCGTGCTCCTGCAGGCGTTGATGCGGTGCCCAGGCTGTATGGAGAGGTCCAGCCAAGCGCTCCCAAGGCCAGAAGCTGCATTGCAGGGGAGTTTTACAAAGTCCTACGGCCTGTAGATAAGGCTTTAATATCTGCAGATTGAAGATGAGGTGCCTGCACATGGACAGCGGCGCCCAGGTCTTGGGCATCCCGCCCTGGCAGTTGTGGCTCATGGTGTTTTCATTACCGTGCCTCCTGTCTGCAGAGGGGCTCTGATCAAAATGTGGGCCCCCCTCTGCAGGCAGAGAAGAGGCCTGTAGCTGCTGTGATTCTTGCCGGGGGTGGCCAGTGTGACTGCCAGCGGAGCGTGACGGTCCCAGAGCAAATCGGGAGCTGAGGTAAAAGAGAGTGCTGGATTTTGACTGAATTTCTAGCATAAACCAAAACAGCCGAGTGTTTCATTGGTGACGCTCGCTCGCTCGCTCGCTCGCTCGCTCGCTCGCTCGCTCGCTGCCTCTTTCGTCTTTTTTTTTTTTTTTACGTACCGTTAGGTGTTTCATCTCAGTGGTGCGTCCTCTGGGCCATGCAGGCAGCCGCCCCACCTCTGGAGCCGTGACCTTGCCAGATGTAGATTAGCCATGTGCTGTATGTTAATATGTCCCCCCCCTTTGCCCCTCCTCTCCCTGATGCAGTCTGCAGCCGGAGGTGTGGCTGTCGCCTGCAGGGGGCTCTGGGGTCAAACGGTTTTAGTTGTGGAAGTGTTATGATTTTAGTTGGGAGCTGTCTGATAATCACGCATTTGGATTGATTTGTATCTTCTGACTCTGCTTTGGTAGTGTTTTTTTACTGCAATTGCACTATTCCTGCTGTAATCGCACTGTTGGGTGTTGGGTATTGCGCCTTAATTTCCCCTCTGAATCTGTCTGTCGGCTACTTATTTGTCTGTGTCTGTCTTCCTTCCTTCTTTCCTTCACATTGTTGAATTCTTCAGTACTATAGCTGGTCTCTTGCCGTTAGCTTTATCTGGGGAAACAGAGTACAGATCCCCCTCACTATTTGCCCTTTACGTTTTCGCTCGCAGTTGACTGTTGAGAGAATTCAGGTCAGGACAGCCATCCGAAATTTTACTTATTTAAAAATTGAACATCATTGACTGCATGAAATAATGCTAGTGGGTCATTTACAGTTTTTTTGTTGAATAAAATGCCTGCTTCATAACAGCTTATATAATTTGCATTATGATCTGTTATGGCATCTCTGACAGTTTTATAGATAGTGTTGTTGAGTATTGCCAATTATAATATCATAGAATCAAAGTAGCTAAATATGTGCCTTTTGTAAAGGATCTCATAAAACATAAATCTGCAGAGACGTGTGAAAGCGGTGGGCTTTTTGGCCTTTAGGGAAGACCATACCGATCTTTATGTTTTTGGACTGTCATTATTGCGCACTGCTTTAAGCCAAGAGTAGGAGAGCTGCCGTCTGCACGTTGAGACCGATATGGCTGGTTCATACCACCTAGATTATGTTTCACATGCATCCATAAAGCCTAGTTCATATTCCACTTTTCCACATGTGCTTTCAGTCCACAGATGGTAGTGCACACAGAATCTTGTGCTCATACTACATTTGTTCCTGGATGCAGATGGTCGTAGTTGGTGTATGTATACAGCAGTGATGTTCCACTGGACCAGGAGAGGGCACATGTATTGCAACAGGAACAAATAGAAACAGTGTAGTGAAATGGATAAACTTTTTAATGAAAAATTTAAAAGTTTTTAGTCTAGACTTCGGTATAATTAAGGTAATACGGCATGCTGCGGTATTTTGAAATCCTTACGACAGCTGCACTGCAAATTTTATGAGCAAGATTTCAAAATACAGTGGTACCTCAGAACTCGAACTTAATGTTCAGAACTCTGGTTCGAATCCTAATAAGTTCGAGTTCTGATCGAATCTTCCCCATAAGAAATAATGGCCCCAAAAAATTACACCTAAATGTTTTTTTTTTTTTTTTTTTTTTTAGCATTTAAACACAAATGAACAGGATAAAACAAGAAGAGCATTTTTTCTTAATGGCTTCCAAAATGATAAAGAATGTATCCCAACACTACCCTGGTCCTGCCCCGATCGTCTGCTCCTTCAGTGTGCCACGCCCCCTCTTTAAACTCATGTGGAATCCCCGTGTGATCAGCTGTTTCTGGTTGTTGCCATTAGTCCTCTGTATTTAGTCCGCGTTTCAGTTTGTTTCCCCAGTCCAGTCATTGTAACATCATTGTGTTGTTCTGCCTGTTCTCAATGAAACCCCGTG